CAACCCCCCACCTACCGTGTTGACCCCACGACTCATCGTTTTGACCCCCAAACCGCCGTTTTTACCCCCAACCCCCGAACAACCAAGCAAACCACCCCGCCTGACGATATTCACGACGTGTCGGGGTGGTTTTAAAAACTGTGGGGTTAGGGGTTGTCAACCTTTCTGACCTCATGCCACCATTTAGACCCCCAACCCACCGTTTTGACGCCCAGCCCAACGTTTTCACAACCAACCCCCCGCGCCTCGTTTTGATTGTCGACCCACCGTCTTTGACCCCCAACCCACTGTGAGGACCCCCAAACCACCGTTTCGACCCCTAAGGGCCCCAACCCCCCAAACAACCAACCAAACCACCGTCTGGGCATATTCAGTATGTGTAGGGGTGGTTTTAAAAAATGTGGGGTTGGGGGTTGTGAACCTTCTGACCGTTTTGACCCCCAACCCTTCGTTTTCACCCCCAAGACCCCACCCACCGTTTTGAGCCTTGACCCACCCTTTTTACCCCCAACTGTTCTAACCCCCATGCCACCGTTTTGACCCCCCATGTTACAATTTTGACCCCCAACCCACCATCTTCCGTTGTGACCACCGAACCACCGTTTTGACCCCCAACCCATCGTTCTCACTCCCAGCCCCCCAACAACCAACCTGACTACCCCGCCTGCTTATTTTTGATTCGTCTATGTGTGAGGGACTGTCATTTTTGTTTTCTTTCTTACTACTTATTCTTCTTCCTACCCTCTCTCTCCTTCAAGTTTCTTCATTTCATTTTGCAAGTTTCTTCATCGGGGGTGGCCCCCAACAACCAACATGACTACCTTGCCTGGTGATATTCACTATGTGTCGGGGCGGTTTTAAAAAAATGTGAGGTTGGGGGTTGTCAATGTGTTTTTAACTCGTCTATGTCAGAGGGACTATTAGTTTTGTTTTCTTTCTTACTTCTTCTTCTTCTTCTTACCCTCTCTCTCGTTTCAAGTTTCTTTATTTCGTTTTGCAAGTTTCTTCATCGGGGGTGGTTTTAAAAAATGTGGGGTTAATGGGGGTGAATAAAATGGGGATTTTGTATGTTTGATTCAGACATCCATAGGTGCAAAATGTCATGAGTAATACWTGTTATTAGCAAACATGAAAAACATAGTCCACATGTTCTTAGCATACATCAGGATACATGAAAAGCAAAGTTCACATGAATGTTATGACATGAAAATCAAAGTCCACAAAAGTCCACAAGAACTACATGACTGTTATGATATACAAAATAACCAAGGATCGTGTACAAAGATCGTTGTCTACATATCAACCACGTACATGTCTGAGTCTACCAAACTACCAATGAACTCCATGTGTCTCTAATGTACAGAACCTACGACCGTCTTTCTACACACTATACAATGAAGACTACAAACAAACCTAATGACAATGAAGTAAACTCTAAATATGCATACAACAAAGCAAGCCCACTCGTCCCTAGAAC